ACCAAAAATAAAAAACAAACCAAAACTAAGTTCCAGGCCAGCCTGAGCTACAATGTGAGACCATGCATCAATCAACAACTAAACAGAGACAAACAAATGAAACAAAACTCATGCAGAATGTACACATGTTCCTTTTTTCAAAACCAAATGCCAAGCATAGTATTCACAATAAGCAAGTAGGTAACATATGCCCTGGAGTAATGTTTTTCCTACAAAGACCAGGGTTGTTTCTCCTGGCTGCCTTAGCACCAGCTGCCAAACCAAGGAGCATCAGTATCTTGGATCAAATTTGAGGAATTGAGATAATTCAAAGGTGAGTTATAATTTACTCTAAGGGCTGGCCTATAATACCTCTCATTCACCCTTACTCTGAGGATGTAGCTCTTTAGGGCCCCAAGCCAATGATAGAAGTATTCTAGTGTCATCTACCCTCAGCAGGTTCTAGCTGCTAATCACTGCCCCTAGAATACTGCTGGAGTGTCAAAAGCACTCCTAGAAAATATTAAAATTACAGAATAAGGACGTCTGAGAAAGCAACAAGAACAGTGGACAAAATGACCAAAATTAACTTTGTTTTTTGGAGGTAGAGTCTTGCTACGCAGCTATGTAGTCCTGGCTGGCCTCCAATTTGCTGTAATCCTCATGCCTCTACCTTATGAGTACAGGGACTATAGGTGCACGCACCAACACACCTGGCTCAAGATCAACTTTTTAAAGTGTGGAAACCATAGGCTTTAAACAATCTAAAGAGCAATTTACTAAAGAAATCCAGCTGAATCTCAGAAGAGCAAGCTCTGGGGGTGTTTTAACTTGCCCTACTGCTTTCCCCTCTTTCTATCTACAGACTTGCCCCTGTGGTAACTGAAAAGCAGCCAGCATCACAGGATGGGGAGAAGAGGCTCAAAGAACCTGAAGAAATCCCTGAAATTGGGTTGCAGTGGCACACACCTGTAATCCTAGCACTTGAGAGGCTAAGGCAGGAAGATCCCAGAAAACTGGAGTACAATCTTGGCTACACAGTGAGCCCAGGGCCACTTTGAGCTTTGTAGCAACTCTGCCCAGTCATTAGCTGCTAAGCTAACTGAACAAAGGCACCAGAGGCCATATAAATACAGGTTCAGACAACAGTAATTATAGAGTGCAATCAATCACAAGGGCAATCAATCAATCAATCATGTAAGGAGCCCCAAGGAACCTCCAGACACCAAGCTCAGGTGAGTAGTCCTGTTGGCAGTTCTCTACATGCCTTATCACACAGTAGTGCCAGAAAACCGAGTGTCCTGACTGCACAGGGAGAGGGAGGACCATGAAGTTTTTTGTGTGGCAGTTCCTGGACTCTGCCAATGCACTTCTTCCCTTAGCTGACTTTATCCTTTTTCTAAAGTGAACCACAAACATGAATATAATAGCTCTCAATGAGTTCTGTGCCCATTTAGTGAATTATCAAAAGAGAGAGATTTTAGGAATCACTCAAACTGGTTTTAGAAGTGAAGGCAATCTATCTTTTTTTTTTTTTTTTTTTTTTTTTTAAACAGGGTCTTTCCCTGACACTCGGGGCTCCCCGAAAACTTCTGCCCCGTGGCTGCTTGCTGACCTCCGTGTCTTTTTGAAACAGGGTCTCCCTGTGGCCCCAGCTGTCCTGGAACTCACTATGTAGACCAGGCTGTCCTTGAACTCACTGCCTCCTGAGTGCTGGGATTAATTCTCTATCTTTTTTAAATATTTTATTTACTATTTCTATTTTATGTATATGAGTGTATTGCCTGCATGCGTGTACATGCACCCATGTTGTGTAATGCCCACAGAAGTCAGAAGAGGGTGTCAGATCCCCTGGGACTGGAGTTACAGATGATTGTTAGCTGTCATGTGGGTGCTGGGAATTGAACCCAGGTCCTCTGCAGGAGCAGCCAGTGCTCTTACCCATTGAATTATCTCTCTAGCCCCACGGGATTATTCTCTTAAACTTCACTATTGGGTTTTAAATTCTTGAACCAACAATGAAAATTCCTGAAATTAATATTTGCTAGAAAAGAACACAACACGGAAAATTGGAGACAAAAATAGAAAATTAGGAGACTTCCAACTAGAAAAATCAAGTACCAAGTAACAGGAAATCATCCTGTGGCTACAGGGCCCAGAAAATACCCAGCACAGTGAAAATACCCACACCAAAGTGGACCATAAGGGAACTAAAACAAGAAAATTAAACCAAAACAAAACAATAAACAACAAACCCAGAAAGGGAGAATTCATGTACAAAAAAATTAAAAATAAGACTTGTCAATACTAAAATCTAGAATAAATAATGCAAGATCTGTGAAATTCTAAAGGAAAATTATTGGTGATCCAGAATTTTCTATATTAAACAGTCAAGCAAGTGTGGGTAAAATAAAGTTATGTCTAGGTATCTAAATTCTCAAAATTTTGTCAAGAAGCTACTGGATCATTCAAAAAACAATGAACTGAACAATAAATCAACCAAGAAAAAAGACTCACAACACAGGAAAAAGATAAAAAAGTAGGTACATAAATGGTGATGGGAAATCCCAGACCAACAGATGAAATGAGGTCTAGCATTTAGAATCAGGAAGGGTTCTAGGAAAGAGCTCTCTGAAAAGGGGATTGGGATACAGTGTTACCAGCTATATTTGAAGTTGGAAGACAAACAAACAAAAAAAAAAACCAGCCAGCTAATTTGTTTTATTTGAAGGAAGAATTAGTGTTAAGCACACAGAAAACTAGGAAAAGAAAAAAAAAAAAAGGCAATCACTAAAATTACAAAACAAAGAATGTCCAGCATTCGGGGCTAGAGAGATGGCTCAGTGGTTAAAAGCACTGACTGCTCTTGCAGAGGACCCAGGTTCAATTCCCAGCACCCATATGGCAACTACAAACCGTCCTTAACTCCAGTTCCAGGGGAATACGATGCCCTCTTCTGACCTCCGTGGCATTGCACGACATGGGTGTGCTGTGTGCTCATATACATGCAGGCAATACACTCATACACATAAAATAAAAATAATAAATAAAATATATTTTAAAAAAAGAATGTCTAGCACTCAGGAGGCAGAGGCAGGAGGTTCTCTCTGAATTTGAGGATAGCCTGGTCTACAGAGAGTTCCAGGTGAGCCAGGGGTACACAGTGAGACCCTGTCTCAAAAAAGAAAAAAGGAATGTATAATCTTATTATGTGACTCAGCTGTAGTAATATTATGAACTAAAAACTAAATTAACCATATAATATAACTATTAGGCTATATTACAATGTAATATAGGTGAATTAGGTGGGGGATGGGGATGGGGATGAGATGGTGCCAGTACTGTTTCATAGTAAGAAGACAGTAGTTAGTATAGGAAATAAAAGAGCAGAAAAATATATTTAAGAGTACAGACATACATGACAAAAGGAGACAAAAAAATTTAATGGAAGTTATTTTTGGAGACCAACAGGTACTACTCTATGCATCTACAGTCTGAGAGAGAAGTGGGGGGGGGGCTTGGGGGAGGCTGGAGACCCAGGATAATGACAGGTAAGCACTGTACCACTGAGCCACACATCCAGTTCTGAAGCACCAGCCTAGATGGAGATGAAATGTTTATGAAGAGAACTTCTTGGAGCTTCTAGTGATTGTTTTCACTCTTATGGAATATTAAATTAGGGAGCCTACAATCATCAGAACCTCAACACCCCAGAGTAAATTTTTGAGACCAATGAAGAATTAGGAGAGCTGTAGGAAAAAGACTAGATCAAAATAATTTAAAAGTGAAGATTCTTGGTCTGAGTGTGGTGGCATACACCTTTAATCCTAGCATCAGAGGCAGAAGCAGGCAGATATCTGTGAGACTGAGGCTACACTGGTCTACATATCAAGTTCCAGGCCAGCTGGGAGACCCTGTCTCAGAAAAAAAAAGAAGGAAGGGAGGGAAGGAGGGAAGATTCTTGGGCTAGAGAGATGAATCAGCAGTTAAGAGTGCTTCCTGTTCTTCCAGTGGACTGGAGTCCAGTTCCCAGCACCCATGTCTGGTGGCTCACAATGATCTGTAACTCTCGTTCCCAGGGGATACAACACCCTTTTCTGGCCACTGTGGGCACAGGCTGGTGTACTTACATACATGTGGGCAATACACTCATAAAATAAAAATAATATTAAAATATTACACATAAAAATAATAAAATATTTTTTAAAAATAAGTAATCTCTGAGCTAGGTCCTAAAATACAGAGCTTTCAGGAAAACAATCATTAAAAAAAAAAAGGAATGATGAATTAGCATACCACATGGACCTTCTTAAGAGACAAAAATTCATAGTTTCTAATTCATGAACTGGATCAAACTATCTGCAGGACACTGTGGGAACTATCATTCCATACAGAGACAAGGTGGTGTTTCAGAGGCTGACTTCAAGCACATGAAACTGTTTTCTGCATCTACTCTTTATGTAGAGGCTGCACTAGCTCTAAGAATGGAAGCCACTTATCGCGGCTTCCTTTGATGTACTGGCCAAGGCAGAACTCTACCTTGCTTGCTCACTATTCCAGACCCAGTATCAGCTTAATGACAGTTAATTCTCCATGGTTAGCATTCTTTGGAGTTCTTCTGAGGAGTGATTTACAAGGAAGCTTTTGTCCTAAATCAAAGTGAAGAGTCAGCACCTAATGGCAATCATAAAAAGCTGAGTAAATTCATAAGGTTTAGCTTTAATTGACAAAATTTACCTCCAACTTTCCCTGTAAAGGCACGGAAATTATGCCTATCTGAATCACTTGGTGAGTCAGGCAAGTGCTTATTACTTACCAGACCAAGGCGAAACGTTAGACTCTTGGAGCCGATCTACAGGAGCAGAAGCTTGAAAGGGGGTACTGAGCTCCATGCTGGGCAATGATTCTTTCAGAGACTCACCTTTGATTTGGGATATCTCCTACTACATCAGACATCTGCTCAAGAGTTCAAGTAGGTAGTCTTTAAAACCCAGAACTGTTAGGATTTCTGGTCTTCTCACCTCATAATACTTCTTTAAGGAGCCTACCAGGCAGAGCTTCAGGCTGTCCACAATCTCCTGATGAGGCATCTGGAACACCACTCGAGAATACCATTTAGTGAGGGTGCTGGCAGGTCAAGTGGAGAGGAGAAAGAGCAGTAGGTGAGTAAATGCTGTTCACACACAGGATTCCCTTTGAATCAACCCAACACATATTTATCTAACAGATGCACTTCTGGATGAGATGGTCCAATGGGTAAAAGCATTTGCAGTGGAAGCCTGACAACCTGAGTTCAATCCTTGGAACCATGTAGAGGTGGAAATTGTTCTCTGACCTCTGCACACAGGCCATGACATGTGTGCCACCCCAACCCCCAACACACACAATAGTAGTTAAAAAAAAAAAAACACAATCCCCCCGCCCACAAAGTGGTTAGGAGATATTTTTAAACCATATACAGAATATTTTTAAACTTAAAAACATGTAATTGAGGCTGGAGAGATGGCTCAGTGATTAAGAGCACTGGCTAGGTTACTCTTGCAGAGGACTCAGGTTTGGTTCCCAGCATACACATGGTGGCTACCAACTACCCATATTCCAGTTCCAGGAGTTCCAACACCCTCTTCTGGCTTCTATAGGCAATGCATGACACAGGTGCACTTACATACATGCAGGCAAAACACTCATACACATAAAAAGAAATGTGTATAATTACAGGTATTTCCTACAAAACTATTTCCAATAGAGGAAAGCAAACAACCTGATAGCCACCAACAGAGGATTAATTAAATAAATAAATGATGTCATGTATTCAATATGTTCTGTGCAGAAGCTAAAGAGAACTGGATGAGGCTTATCTGTATTGATGGGGAAAATATTCAAAATATATAGTTTATGGTGTGGTGTTGGTGGTATGGTGGTATGCATAGCTACCTTCCAAAATATATAGTTTATGAATATGAAATAAACAGAGGAGCTAGGGGTGTAGGTCAGTGGTAGAGCACTTACTTACCTAACACAACACACACACACAAATAATCCAAACTGAGGAATAGTGTGCACAGTAGTATTCCATTTGTATAAATAAATATACATGTATCTATGCCACATATATATGCTATTACATATATATACTACATATATAGTTATGCTGTATCATCTAGTGATATGACCACCTCAGTTTAATTTATGATGTTCAAACAATGAAATCACTTAATCAACGTATGATTGTATATGTTTTTAAAAATATTTATTTATTTAATGTATATGAGCATTTTGCCTGCTTGTATGTAAGTATGCTCATACACGCAATGCTCACAGAGGCCAGAGGTGTTGGATCCCCTGGAAACGGAGTTACGGATGGTTGTTAGCCATCACGGTATTGTGGTGGTTTAAATGAGAATGTCCCCCACAGGCTCCAAATATTTAGACACTTGGTCCCTAGTTTGTGGCAGTGTTTGGGGAGAGTCATGGAACCTTTAAGAGGTATGGCCATGCTAGAGGAAGCACATCACTGGCTTTGAGAGTTCTTAAGCCTTGCCAGGTTTCCAGTTGTTCTCTGCTTCCTGTACCTGCTTGAAGATGTGAGCACTCAGCTTTCTGCTCCAGCCACCTTTGCCACCAACGCCTTCCACCCCAACCCCCAACATTATGGACCCTCTCTCTGAAACCTTAAGGCAAATAAACTCTTCATTCTGTAAGTGGCCGTGGTCATTGTGTTTTATCACAGCAACAGTAAAGTCACTAATACAGCAGCTGCGTGGGTGCTGGAAACTGAACACAGATTTTTTTAAACACAAATCTGAAGATTTAGATATGCCACACCTCTGGTGGTGGTTAGTGAAGGATGAAACATTAGGAACTTATTTATGCTTTTTGAATTTCCACAGGTATTCGGAATGAGCATGCCTTATTTTCATAACTGTAACAATAAAAACCACCTCAACAGGCTGGGGAGATGGCTCAATTGGCAAAGTACTCGCTGTACAACCATGAGGACCTAGTTTGATTCACAACATTCATGTAAAAGCTGGGCATGGAAACATGCACCTGCAATCCCAGTACTGGGGAGGCAGACAGGAATTCTCTTGGGTTTGCAGGTCAGCTAATCCAGCAGAACAAGATCCAGGTTCAGTGAAAGACACTGTCTTAAGTTATTCATATGAGTTCACAGAAATTCTGTCAGCGTGCACAAGACCCACACAAGCTCAAGTCAGACAAAACCCCAGCACAGAAGAGGGGAGGTACGTAAGAAGCCCCAGCCCTAGCTGAGGAACTACTGGCAACTGAGAGTAGCTGGGAAAGAGAGAGTCAGTTTGCTTTAAAGGTGTGATTCTAGGTAGGCTGACTAGGCTCCAGGGAATGGACCCACACCATAGGGCATTTGGGGACACAAGTTAAAGCCTTTAAAAAATGCTAGAAATACGGGCTGGAGAATTGGCTCAGTGTTTAAGAGCACTGACTGCTCTTGCAAAGGACCCAGGTTCGATTCCCAGCACCCACATGGCGGCTACAAACCGTCCTAAATCATGCCACAAAATAAACCTAAAAGAGACATGGTAGAGGGGCTGGAAAGATGGCTCAGCAGTTAAGAGCAGTGACGGCTCTTGCAGAGGACCCAGGTTCGATTCTCAGCACCACATGGTGGCTATGAATCATCCTTAACTCCAGTTCCAGGGGAATCCGAAGCCCTTTTCTGATCTCCGTGGCATTGCACAACACAGGCGCACTCACATACATGCAGGCAGTACACTCATACACATAAAATTAAAATAATAAAATATTTAAAAAAAAAAGATGCTTGACCTGTGTTCTAAAAAAAAAAAAAAAATGCTAGAAATAGAGGACATGAAATCAGGTGGGGAGGTAGTAAGGGAGGTACAGATAGGGAACGGGTCTGAATATGATCAAAATACATTGTAGAAAATTCTTAAAAATGTGCCGAGTATGGTGGCACAGGGCTTTAATTCCAGCACTTGAGAGGCAGAGGCAGGCGGATCTCTGTGAGTTCAGCCCAGCCTGGTCTACATGGTGAGTTCTAGGCCAGCTGTGGCTACAGGAAGACCCTGTCTCAAAAAGACGGAAAAAACCAAAACCAAAAACAACAACAACAAAAAATTCTCAAAAATTCAATAAAAATATTTAAATAAAAAAATGGTAGAAAGTCATTGAAGAAGACATCTGATGTTGGCCTCTGGTCTCCATGTACAGACACACACACACCCCATACACAAAAACCTCACTTCATTTCTAGAGCAGAAAGTCTGTAACAAGGCACAACCTCTCTCTGCAAGAAGTGCACAGTATAAGGAGTAAATTCATGCCTGTGACAAGTGTAGCAATCAGGCATTACAGAAAGACAGAAGAGGAAGGAAGTTAAGAGCACCTTATATTATAATACAAAGTACCTAAAAAAATAGCTGCTGCATTTATATTAAGATCAGGCATCAAAATGAGGTAGTAGCCAACACAACTGTGGGTAGTGCTTACAGATTGATGCTTGCAACGAAGCCAACCACTGAGCGCATGCCTCTGCTGGGGTCGTGGTACACATCCATTCCAATCACCATTAACTGTTTCTAGGTTGGAAAACAAAAACACAAATGCAAAACTCAATCCAAGTGATCCATCACTAGGTCTTTAATTATTATTTGAATTTCAAAGCACCCTCCCCCACTATCTACATATGAAAGCACGTTCTGAAAAAGAAACAGAAAGACTGCAATCAACTTGACATTTTCTAAACACAATGAACAAAGTCAGATTTGGACCAGGGATCAGTAAGTATTTTCACGAAAGGAATGAGTAAATCTTCAGGCTTTGTGAGCTGGTATCCCTAGGAATTGTGTAACTCTGCCTTTTGACAAGGAACAGCCATAGACAATATGTAGGCCATTCCTATGTGTGCCAAATGTAAACTATACTTAAAGACAGTGAAAACCGAATTTCACATAATTTTCATATGTCATGAAATGTTGGCCTTATTTGTTTTTTTTTTTTTTCCCACTACTTAAACATAAAGACTATCCTTAGCTCATGGACTGCCTAATAACAGGCGGCAAGCTAGTCAGACTCTAGAGTCCACACTGAGAATAGGAATTTCAATTAGAGGAGGACAGGGAAAGAGCCAGGCAGGATTCTCTAGAGAGCTGAACTGAAAAAGATACATCTCAGCATCACTCACCAGAGGAATATCCACTCCCCAAAGCTCACCACCCAATTTACAGTTCATCTGAAGTAAAATTTTCTGAGCCACACTCCGAAGCCTAGTGGGTTGACCAATGGTTCGTACATTGATGACCTATAATGACAAGACCAGAAGACAGGGCAAGACATCAATGACTCTTAGAAAATGCTAATGGGGCTGGAGCAATGGCTCAGAGGTTAAGAGCACTGGCTGTTCTTGCAGAGGACCCGGGTTTGGTTCCCAGCATCCACATGGCAGCTAAAAACTGTCCTAACTCCAGTTCAAGGGGATTCAACACCCTCTTCTGACCTCCATGGGCAGTGCACAACACAGGAGCACTTACACACATGCAGGCAATACATTCATACAACATAAAATACTAAAAAAAGAAAATGCTTTTCTCATTTAAGTTCACTGTAAAGGTGCCCAAAAGAACAAAGAAATGTCATCAAGTATCAAGTTTGCTATTCAATGTCTGATTTGTGTGAACTTGCTAATAAACATTTCTATGGCAGAATTCAAAAAAAAAAAAAAAAAAAAGAAAATGCTAACAGTTCTAATTATAGCCATCCCTTGGCTCTACACCCCTCCTTTCTTTGTCCCTCCCCCACAAGGAAGCAAAAGTCTGAGGATGCTCAACTCTCTTATACAATGGCATGGTATTTGTATATAACTGTATACTCTGTCTGGATCATCTCCATTATCTATAATGCCTAATGTAATCACTATGTAAATAGCTGTTATTCTGTATTGTTTAGGGAATAATCACAAGGTGGGGAAGTCTGTATGTGTTTAGTGGAGGTATAATTTTCTTTCAGAATATTTTAAAACTGTAGTTGGTAAATACACTGGTGCAGAACCCACAGATAGGCTAGGCATAGTGGCATGCCTGTAATTCCAGCACTTGGGGGGTAGAGGCACAAACAGTTGCTCAAGGTCGTCGTTGATAACATAGGCGGAGTCTGAGACCAGTTTCAGCTACATGAGATCCTGTCTCAAAAATTTTACCAGATACTAAGGACCCACTTAGTGGATGTTTGTATTAATAATTCTAGGGTCTCTAGGCATGTATGCACATAATATACACAGGCAAACATAATTAAAAACTTTCAGAGCTATCTTATTCAGAGTAGCATGTTTTCTTAACTCCCTATGAAAAAAAACATCTTCCTTTCTCAGAATGAAGCCTACACTCCAAGACTCAGACATGGGAAAGCACCCAGGGACTCTGAGGAACAGGAAGGGGCTGCTTAGAAGGGCTACCTGCTATTGTAGGCTCATTCTAACCAGGGGCCCTTATTGGCCTCTAATGGCTCTTTCAGCTTCAGGAGACTTAGGGTTGTTGAGCTGGGACTCACCCTTACCTCCTGCTCCACCTCCACTCACCTGTGAGGGCACTGGAGACTGGACACAGCACAGCTTCTTGATAGCCCCATAGAGATCATCACGAGTACCCATGATGATGCAAACGACCATTTGTATCTTTCCCTTGAGGAGATAAGTATATACGTTCAGGCCTGAACTCTTTGAGAACTTTTATGGAACACAATAAGGTAGACAGGGAACTGGGAAAAAGATGGTGGGCACTCCAACCAGAAAAGGCCTTTTCATATGAACTAGCATTTGGCTCAGGGCTGCTATTCATGACAGGTAATGTGTTACTATTAACGACATACAACTGGCCATGATTACCAATATTTATTTATTAGGAGGCTTTAGATCTGGAAAAGGCTTGAAAATAGGCAAGGGTTCTATGACTTGCTGCTCTAAATTCCCTTAATGAAGTTTACTATTCTCTTTGGCTAACTAAGCAACCTATCGAACCATAGAACTTCAACTGAGCATGGAATGTAGCACTACCAGAAAGGGTTCAGAGCCAAGTGCAGAAGGTATGAAACCAAAGCCACTATAGCTATTCCTCATATGTTAGGGAGGGAATGATACTGCCAGCAACAAGCCTGTTAGGAACCTCTACCCCTCCTGACTTAAGGTAGTCAATGTCACAACAGAGGACCTTCCAAAATCTTTAGCACTCAAATGAAGCAGGGCTGCCAACTCTGCTCACAAGGTAAATCAGAGTACTGCTTCTAGTCAAGACTGCTACTAAGACCTCCCAGGGGACAACAGCCCCGCAACATTAAAGACTTTCCAAAGTCATGTGTAACTGACGTTGCACAGTGGGAGCCAGTGGGCTGGTCACAACCAACAGATGTGCTGTTTCAGCCCTTATAATGATTTACAAGTGTTTGTCTTAATCATAGAGAGGTATGCATTTATGTAAACTCATATTTTTCATTTTTGCTGAAAAGAGAACAAGTTAAAAATCAACTTGGAATGGTGAGTTTCCATCTCTTGTTGCAGAGATTACTCTGTTGAGTTCAACGAAGACCCTTCCTAACCCATTTCTTTCATACATGTTATGTGGCCTCAGCACATCTCTGAATTTGTGATTTCTCCCAAATAGAACAGTAAACAGAATGTCCTGAAGAACAGAAAGAGACACAGCATGACCGGTATAAAACATCCTGAATGCAATTCATAGTCATGCTACATGAATTGTTGGTTGCGTACTCTCACACATGGAATGTGAGGAGCTCTGAAACGGGAGTAGTTGGGCTATTCCTTTGAAAGCAGAGCAGAACTTATCACTGATCATGCCCAAGGGAGACTAGGGAAGAGCATGGTAAGTATGGGAAGGGGGAAAATTATGAAGGGAACATGTGAAAAAGAGCACATGAAGCCAGACACACGCCTGTGGTCTCAACTGTTGGGAAAGGTAAGGCAAGGAACTCTTGTGCTCAGTTTAGGATCAATCTGGGCAAGAACCTGTCTCAAAAGCAGAGGTGAGGGTTAGAAGAGCACTGAGTGTGCCGCTGTGGTCACCATACCAAGACAGTGTCAAAAAGAGAACGCTACCATGCCAAGATTGCCCAGTTCTGGGACGGCTCTTCCTGAACTATTCAATCCACCAGACTTTTGGATTCAAGGGTCAATTCTTTCCCAAGACAAAATTTCCCTGCCTCTGTCCTCTCCCTCCTCTGTCTTCTTCCTCTGCTTTGTTTACAAAGAGATAAGGAGGGAAAGTCTGAAAGCTAAGCTATTAGTGCCAGATCCAGTGTTCAGATCAGTTATCAGGACCAGTTACTAAGTCTAGAGCCAAGTTCACGAGCAGGGGAATTTGCATCTTGAGCCAGACCATTCAGTGACAGCTCAGTACGAAATTGTGCAAGACGACACTTGTCTCAAGTAATTTCCTGAGCACAACATGTTCTACAGATAATGAACTAAAGTTTAGTCAGCTATTCTTTCAGCTAATTATGTGAGAAAAAGACTACAGTAAGAGAAAGAGTCAACACAGAAAGAAAGAAACAACATGACCAAAGGGCATGAAGAATACTTCTTCAGCTCAGAATTTTATGTGCAAACAAGGTCACCAACTTCTGGACATCATTAACAGCAGACCAGCAATGAAGATAATTTAAGATTAAGTACCCAAGTACTTTCAGAGAGCTTACAGATCTGCTCCAATTAAGGTAGTTAATTACCTCAACTCCCAGTAAGGACTGAATAGTCCTGATATAGGTCTCTATACGGTCATCCTTCAGTTCTACCCAGGCCGGTGGGCTTATGCGCATGCCGATGGGGCCAGCTATCTTCTCCAACATGTTAACCAGCTCTCTGGCTTGATCCATTGCTCTCTTTGGGTAAAAAAGTGCCCAGAAATGCATGGGGATCTACAAGCAACCATGATATTTTTAGTGCCACTCACAACTTAAACATTCCAAACGTATTCAGGAGATTTTGCTACAAAAAATAAATGACTTTGCACTCCCTCTGTCTTATAGAATTCCTATCATTCTAAAGAATTTATAAATAAATTCTGACAGTCTTATAATGTAATACTATATAACAGTGAAAATGGAAGCGCTACAACCTTACCAGCAATAGGAATGAAACTCAAGAACATAAGGTAAAAGAAAAAAAATACACTCTCTGGTTCTAGGTCTAGAAACAGTACAAAAGCAGGTGAAAAGAATCTATGCTACTACCAAGTTAGAACAGTTGTTATTTCCAAGTGGGGGGGGGGCAGGGAGAGAGGGGAGGAGAGAAGGAGAGAGAAACTGGGAAACAAGATAAGGGATGGGGAGCACCTGTAAATTTCTGTTTCTTAACCCTTGGAGTTGATTACACAGGTCTATTCAATTTGTAAAAATTTATCAAGTTATATACTTCTAAGTGTGCTTTTTCTTTACCTACACTGCATTTCAATAAAAGCTTTAAAAGTTGATGAATTTTATACATGGTTACAAAGATCAAGTTGGTCAAAAACAAAATATATTTAAATACTTTTTTATATTTTTATTATTTTTATTTTGTGTGTATGAGTATATTGCCTGCATGTATGTGAGTGCACCCATGTCATGCAGTGCCTCAGAGGTCAGAAGAGGGCTTCGGATTCCCCTGGAACTGGAGTTAAGGACAGTTCATAGCCACCATGTAGGTGCTGGGAAGCGAACCCGGGTCCTCCACAAGAGCAGTCAGTGCTCTTAACCGCTGAGCCATCTTTCCAGCCCTGAGATATTTCATTCTTTGATGCAAATAACTAATATACTAATTGTTTGGGGAAGATGCTGTTTTAGTTTGACTTCTTTCATGGGAATTCCCAAGGGCAAAGGGGAACAGAGGAAAGGAGAAGAAAAAAGGAGAGCAGGTGATGGGCTGGCATCAAATGAATTATCATGACAACATGGTTCCTTCTCTTTTGACTGATCACCTAAGAGCTTCCCCCCAGCACTGCTCTGCTGGAAAGGCCCTGGGTGGCAGGTCATTCAGATTAGAATTCGGATGTCACTTCTCAAAAAGAAGATACCAGATCATTCATTCCTGTTTCTACAGTTTGGGGACTACTGATTCTTGAGTCATCTTAAAAATTTACTCACAGTCAAGATGGAAGCATCTCTGGTTACTTCCTTAACCCAGTTCAGGTCCTCAGACGTAATAAATGAAGTATTTCTTAAGTTAATCCTTTCCATTGGAAGAAGACGTCCTTCAATCTGCATTATAAAATAAATATCTATGACATGGAGCCATCTACAAACCCCACTTAAGAAAACACTGGCACTGTCCCTCTGAAGCCTCCTCGGGTCCACACAGACTTGCACTGGGATTAGAGGTGTGCACTATCATGTCTGGCTGTGTTAAAACTTTTGAGAAAGCTGATAAACCCAAACTTCTAGCAGCAAGAGTCCATGTCATTCAAAGCTAGGACACACATCAGTAAGATGCTCACAGGAACTGTTTTTTGATTAATTAATTTCTGACGCAGTATCCCAAGAACAGCATTCAAAGACATTTTCTCTTTTTGAACTAGTGAATGTAGAAATACAATCTTTGAAAAATATTTTAAGGGAAACACTGAAAAGGGAAAATTAAAGCCTCAAATTTCTTTTTGCTGTTTTGAGACAGGACCTCACTATGAACCCCAGACTGGCCTCAAACTCCTAATCTTGCCTCAATCCTGCCAAGGCTAAGATTACAGTTGTGCACCATCACTCTCCAGCTCTGTTTAATTTTTTTTCTTTTTCTCTTCTATCTGCAGTGCTGGGGATGGAACCCCAGGGCCTTGTACATTCAGACAAGCACTCTACTATTGAACTGCATCCCTAGCCCCAGTTCAATTCTTCAAACTCAATCATTATCCTCGTTCCATAGGTAAGGAAACAAGATACTAAGAAACTTGATCAAATTAAGTAAGTTGACAAGTGGTAGAGAGAGCTGAAAGTCAATGCCAGAACAGCAAACACCAAAGCCTGAGGACTCTACCACCACCCCATACTGCCACTGCACTGTGGCTCATGCTTGCCCAAAACCATATCAGCCAACTCAACAAACTTAAGGTAGAAAGCACCACAAGCAAATTAGACTACACAAGTCAAAGAGTATCTTATGTCTGTCTATAGCAAGAGTATTAGCAGTGTATACAAGAAAAAAGCTAATTATTCAGAGAGAAAAAGAGCTGGGCATTATAATACCTGTAATCCTACCACTCAAAGAGATTGAGGCCAGTATGGGCTACATAGTGAGTTCAAAAGTAGCTGGGTTACCACATGGCAGCTAACAACTGTCTGTAACTCCAGTTCTAGGAAGTTCCTGGCCTTGAACTCACAGAGATCCACCTGCCTCTGCCTCCCAGGTGCTGGACTAAAGGCGTGCATCCCCACACTTGGCTCAAAAATGGGGTTATTTTAAGGGGAGGGGGAGGGAGGGTTATACAAGGAAACTTGGGGATAAAGGGAAAGAAGGGGCTCAAGAGAGGTGGGACCATAGGAAAAGGGTATTAATAAGGGAGAAATGGGAAAAATGGGGGCACTTTAAATGGGGAAACCATGGTGGAAGGGTTAGACAATGTGAGAGATAAATAATGCCTAGCTAGTTTAAAAAAAGAGGGGGAGAGGGTGGTTCGGACCTCCATCGGGGTAGCTGTTCAGAGCTCAGCAGAATGCCAGAGAGTGTCGGGTTCTGGTCTCTCTCTGGTCTCCAACTACCAGAGGGCTTGAGAACCCAGGGGACAGCCTGACAGCTCCCAGATCCTGCCTCCATGTGGTGGTGAGTGTCCCCTAATTGCACCATACCATCCCCCTACCTGGGATTTTGTGAGGCCCCTCCCAAGGCCCCAGGGCAGATCTGGCTTTGGTAGGCTAAGGCTAGAATCTCAGCAGACCATTAGAGAGTGCCTAGTTCTGACCCCCCTCTGGCCTCCCTCTGGCATAGGGTTTACTACGCACAGGACTGCCTGAGAGACCCTGGATCCTGCCTCCACGTGGTAAAGGAAGCTTGAGTGTACCTGACTGGAACCTGAATTGGGCTTCTGTGGGTACCCCCGAATAGCTGATCTGAAGTCATCAGTTCCCTCCAAAATAAACCTGAAAGAACCTGAACCCTGTACCAACCAGCTTTACATAACCAATAAAGAAAGGATCTAGGCACCCAGATAATACGAACAGAATCATACTTCAAGTTAATTCTCATATCAGAATCATAAACAACAAAAGAAATTCACATGCCAAAACCACAA